ATATACAGTACAGTGTACAGATATACAGTACAAGTAATGTAGTGTACAGATATACAGTACAGTGTACAGATATACAGTACAAGTAATGTAGTGTACAGATATACAGTACAGTGTACAGATATACAGTACAGTGTACAGATATACAGTACAAGTAATGTAGTGTACAGATATACAGTACAGTGTACAGATATACAGTATCAGTAATGAAGTGTACAGATATACAGTACAAGTAATGTAGTGTACAGATATACAGTACAAGTTATGCAGTGTACAAATATACAGTACAAGTAATGTAGTGTACAGATACACAGTACAAGTAATGTAGTGTACAGATATACAGTACAAGTTATGCAGTATGCACATGTATACAGGTGAAAGAAAGATATAATGTACTGTCATTAAATAATTACTCAATGGTTAGATAATCACTTAATTTGACAAATGATATCTTTCATCTTTGTTAAGTACGTTTAGCAGGTGCTTTTTACGAATGATGAATAAGATTTCACTTGGTACATTTAACAGGTATTGTTCTATGAATGATAAATAAGATTTACATAGGTACATTTAGCAGGTATTGTTTTACGAATGATAAATAAGATTAAGTTGGGTACATTTTGCAGGTATTGTTTTACGAATGATAACTTAGGTTTTACTAACGTCGAAGGTATTGTTATGAAGCACTACAGACACTGCCTGTTTTACAAATTACACACATGATGCATACCACAGAGCAAATAAACTTTGGTATTGATCACCTGCTAATTATGTTATCTGGCCCTTTTTTTCTGGAGTTGAGGAATTGTGTGTACAATATTTGGTGATTGTCTTACGTGGAGAAGGTTGATGGCCAGTGTTTGATGAAGAGCAGGGTATTGAGCCTTGAGTATATGTGTAATGACACACCTACAGACGTATGTGTTCACTGCGAACTTTGTTGGTGCATTGCTCAGGACACCTGACCTGTAGGTATACAGCATGCCTGTTACTACTGCAGCATTGTAGTCAATATCAGTGTGTAAGGCAGGGTGTTGGGAATATGTTTGTATGCAACATTATAGATTTGAATTGTATTTTACTACACCTCATCTTCTGTAAAACGGTAAACATGTTTGTGTTTTAATACCAGTTGTTTAAGCACAGCTTAGAGGTCACCAGGTAAAACACTCATGTATGGCTGCTTATGATGTTGAGACAGGATTATCATGGAAGCTAAGAATATTGTATTATACATGTCTTACCAGTCTGTTTGTGTTTGATTGGACAGGGCTATCATGGAAGCTGAACAAGTTGATTATGTAACCTAAGAATGTTGTAGTAGACAGGTTCCATGGTATTGACATTAGATTGGATTAGAACCAAGAATTTCTAAATTATTCAACATGTTCCTCATAGAAACCAGATAAAGTTTTAGGGAAAGTTATCAATGACGCAAGGAATGTTTGATTGAGAGTTTTATCATTGAAGTGAGGAATGTCTGATTGGACAGGTTTATCATTGGAGTGAGGAATGTCTGATTGGACAGGTTTATCATTGAAATGAGGAATGTCTGATTGGACAGGTTTATCATTGAAATGAGGAATGTCTGATTGGACAGGTTTATCATTGAAGTGAGGAATGTGTGATTGGACAGGTTTATCATTGAAGTGAGGAATGTCTGATTGGACAGGTTTATCATTGAAATGAGGAATGTCTGATTGGACAGGTTTATCATTGAAATGAGGAATGTCTGATTGGACAGGATTATCATTGAAGTGAGGAATGTCTGATTGGACAGGTTTATCATTGAAGTGAGGAATGTCTGATTGGACAGGTTTATCATTGAAATGAGGAATGTCTGATTGGACAGGTTTATCATTGAAGTGAGGAATGTCTGATTGGACAGGTTTATCATTGAAATGAGGAATGTCTGATTGGACAGGTTTATCATTGAAGTGAGGAATGTGTGATTGGACAGGTTTATCACTGAAGTGAGGAATGTCTGATTGGACAGGTTTATCATTGAAATGAGGAATGTCTGATTGGACAGGTTTATCATTGAAGTGAGGAATGTGTGATTGGACAGGTTTATCATTGAAATGAGGAATGTCTGATTGGACAGGTTTATCATTGGAGTGAGGAATGTCTGATTGGACAGGTTTATCATTGAAGTGAGGAATGTCTGATTGGACAGGTTTATCATTGAAGTGAGGAATGTCTGATTGGACAGGTTTATCATTGAAATGAGGAATGTCTGATTGGACAGGTTTATCATTGAAGTGAGGAATGTCTGTTTGGACAGGTTTATCATTGAAGTGAGGAATGTCTGATTGGACAGGTTTATCATTGAAGTGAGGAATGTCTGATTGGACAGGTTTATCATTGAAATGAGGAATGTCTGATTGGACAGGTTTATCATTGAAATGAGGAATGTCTGATTGGACAGGTTTATCATTGAAGTGAGGAATGTCTGATTGGACAGGTTTATCATTGAAATGAGGAATGTCTGATTGGACAGGTTTATCATTGGAGTGAGGAATGTTTGATTGAGAGTTTTATCATTGAAGTGAGGAATGTCTGATTGGACAGGTTTATCATTGAAGTGAGGAATGTCTGATTGGACAGGTTTATCATTGGAGTGAGGAATGTCTGATTGGACAGGTTTATCATTGAAATGAGGAATGTCTGATTGGACAGGTTTATCATTGAAATGAGGAATGTCTGATTGGACAGGTTTATCATTGAAATGAGGAATGTCTGATTGGACAGGTTTATCATTGGAGTGAGGAATGTCTGATTGGACAGGTTTATCATTGGAGTGAGGAATGTCTGATTGGACAGGTTTATCATTGAAATGAGGAATGTCTGATTGGACAGGTTTATCATTGAAGTGAGGAATGTCTGATTGAACAGGTTTATCATTGAAATGAGGAATGTCTGATTGGACAGGTTTATCATTGAAGTGAGGAATGTGTGATTGGACAGGTTTATCATTGAAGTGAGGAATGTCTGATTGGACAGGTTTATCATTGAAGTGAGGAATGTCTGATTGGACAGGTTTATCATTGAAATGAGGAATGTCTGATTGGACAGGTTTATCATTGAAATGAGGAATGTCTGATTGGACAGGTTTATCATTGAAGTGAGGAATGTCTGATTGGACAGGTTTATCATTGAAGTGAGGAATGTCTGATTGGACAGGTTTATCATTGAAATGAGGAATGTCTGATTGGACAGGTTTATCATTGGAGTGAGGAATGTTTGATTGAGAGTTTTATCATTGAAGTGAGGAATGTCTGATTGGACAGGTTTATCATTGAAGTGAGGAATGTCTGATTGGACAGGTTTATCATTGGAGTGAGGAATGTCTGATTGGACAGGTTTATCATTGAAATGAGGAATGTCTGATTGGACAGGTTTATCATTGAAGTGAGGAATGTGTGATTGGACAGGTTTATCACTGAAGTGAGGAATGTCTGATTGAACAGGTTTATCACTGAAGTGAGGAATGTCTGATTGGACAGGTTTATCATTGAAGTGAGGAATGTCTGATTGGACAGGTTTATCATTGAAATGAGGAATGTCTGATTGGACAGGTTTATCACTGAAGTGAGGAATGTCTGATTGGACAGGTTTATCATTGAAATGAGGAATGTCTGATTGGACAGGTTTATCATTGAAGTGAGGAATGTGTGATTGGACAGGTTTATCATTGAAGTGAGGAATGTCTGATTGGACAGGTTTATCATTGAAGTGAGGAATGTCTGATTGGACAGGTTTATCATTGAAATGAGGAATGTCTGATTGGACAGGTTTATCATTGAAGTGAGGAATGTGTGATTGGACAGGTTTATCATTGAAGTGAGGAATGTCTGATTGGACAGGTTTATCATTGAAATGAGGAATGTCTGATTGGACAGGTTTATCATTGAAATGAGGAATGTCTGATTGAACAGGTTTATCATTGAAGTGAGGAATGTCTGATTGGACAGGTTAACGATCTCTGATTAGAAGTGTCAGATAGGAATGGTTTATCACAGCAGTAAGGACAAAGATTGAGAAAAATTGAGAACACCTGTATAAATTTTTGTTGTATGATTTTAGTGTCAATGTTATCATTATTTTTTAAATGGAATTATCAACTGAATTTTAGCACAAAGGGATAGGGGCCCTGGGACATTCATGTCTTTCTAAGAAACGTGATGCAGTTTTATCAACTAAAATACAGTTAAGAAAGATAGGTTGTAGTATTTTACTGTAATAGGTATCTAACAATTAATTTGAGTATGTTCCTTCTATATAGAGAGCTATATAATGGCAAGGAATTGACTGCTGTTCCAGGAGCAGACATAAAGAAAACTAGGTTTTCCTGTATGTATCTACACAAAATGGCCAATACATTTCCAAGGCTAAATAATACCCACATACATGTAAGCTTGTTGACTTGTTGACTTGTTGAACCTGACAATATGTGTGTTGATCATATTTTCTGGTAGACAAGAACTAGTCGTAAATGTTCCAGCTTCTGTAGGCCAACGGGATTCACAATGTAGTCAATGACAATAGGTATCGTGTCAATCATTAGTAGTGAGTAGTCATTGAATTTATCTTTGATACAGGTCCATTCCTTTAATGTTTTTAATTGATCAGTGGCCCAGAAAAATCACCTAATTCTAACACTGGTATTGAACATGAATAAATGAATGGAAATGAACACTGTCGTTAGTAAAGAATTCAACAATAAGTCAATATACTGAAATCATTTTGGAAGTAAAAAAAACTTTTGCTGTATAGATATGGAAAGCATGTATGTAAGAAAATCAGTATATATCTTAAACAATGATACCGTTTATATCCTTATCATCCCTTTGTTAGCCTTTCTTTGTCTCTTTGGTACAAAATATACAATTTTGTTTGACAGCTTCAAATTAAAAAAAATGGTGAGGATTAATGAATATATCTGTAAGAGAATTGGGGAATTGTTTTGTTCATGATTTGTAAGCATATTTTTTATATTACAGGCGAGTACAAGAAGGATGAGTTGTTGGAGGCAGCTCGCAGTGGGAATGAAGATAAGCTCATGTCCCTCCTTACCCCTCTCAATGTCAACTGCCACGCTAGTGATGGACGCAAGGTAAGTTATCAGTACATCCTGTGGTTATTAGAATGTATTGCTCTTCAGTAGTGAAGTATTAAATGTATCATGGTTACATACATCAATTTATTAATGAAGATTTGGTATAAATAATTTGGAAAAAAGAAGATAAAACCTGATAAGTAGCACTCTTTTTCAATTTTCATTCTACATGATATGACACGGAATTCCACTTTTTTTTTTGTACTGTTGCTGATAGAGGACCTAATTTCTATAAACAATTGACTCAAAATAAAGAATCAATTGCATTGCCTGGTTGTTATCACATTTGGATACCATGAAGTGCACATTGCCTGTTTCAGTGGTGATATTTGTCTTTGTAAACAATTATAAAAAATGAAGACATGATTTAGCTAGAGACCCATTCACTTGCCAACATACTGTTAACTAATGGTTATATATACAAGTACATTCGCCCACCAAAGTGTGAAATAGATACCTTACCGAAGAATATTTAAAGTAAATATCAGTAAAACCAAACCACCTTTCTGTAGTTTTGTTTTTTGATGACGCACAAGTTGGAAGAAATTGCTGTAAAATCCATGTAACGTGCAGTTTGTTTTGTCTTGTTTTTTTTTTTTTTGGGGGGGGGGGTGGGGGTGGGGGGAGGTTAAAGGTCAAAGGTTGAGTGAATGCAAACTATGAGAATCAGTATCATCCAAAATCAGGGCAAAGTGTTTAAAAACATGGTAGCATCTAGCATAATAGGAAACCACCAATCGGTGAAGACTGGCCCATTTGAGACATTGGAAAAATAAGTTGATGAAAACAGTCATCTTCTGAAACAGAGGGTAACAGTTATCACTGGAGTCAAGGTTACTTGAATCATGGTGAGACAAAAAGACGTATTTAAAACGGGTTCTTTCATTAACTTCCTGAGTGAATTAGGGCTACTGTACATACATTTACTCAGATATTCAGGACTTTTGTGGTCTTTATGGTGAACTAGGTTAATAATTTAGCTTTTTTTATTTTAAATTGATAAATCTTTAATTTATAATTAAGATGCTTTCTGTAGACAATCTGTACTTTACTGGTGTTTTTGTTGTTGCAGTCTACGCCCCTACACTTAGCAGCAGGTTATAACAGAACTCGTATTGTAGCACTTTTACTACAACATGGAGCTGATGTCCATGCTAAAGACAAGGGGTAGGTATTTGTTCTACTGTGTTGCCAGTTACAATGTTTTTATATTAACCAAGTTAAACATAAGCTTTCCATTATCAAATAGAATGATTCAAGGACAAAAAGCGTTCTGACTTACAAGAATCTGTGGACATGCATTGCATTCAGATTACCTTCTTGTTATTTTTCAAAGATTTATATTTCAGATTGGTTATCATTACTAATGTGCTTTTGTTTGTTTCACAGAGGCCTTGTTCCACTCCACAATGCCTGCTCATATGGCCATTTTGAAGTGACAGAAACACTACTTAAAGTAAGTACCAGTACTATTGATTTTTGAAAGTTTTGAAAAACATTATTTTTATGCAAAATTTCAGTGCTAATTTTCACACTTTGTTTTGAAGGCCGGAGCAAGTGTCAATGCCATGGATCTATGGCAATTCACCCCTCTCCATGAAGCTGCATCCAAGTCCCGTGTGGAGGTGTGCTCTCTCCTCCTTGCACATGGGGCTGACCCCACTCTTGTCAACTGTCACTCCAAAAGTGCTATAGATGTAGCTCCTACTCGGGAGCTACAGGAGAGGCTACAGTGTAAGTATTCTTTCTCTGTAACATTGAACCACACAATGGAGGAAATAATGAATGTACAGTGAAACAGATGCAGAACTCCTTTGATATTGAGTTTAAACACAGAAGTAGTTTAGAAAAAGCTGTCTTCTTATATTTCACCTTGGAAGGAAATGAATCATTAAGCTGATTTGAAAGAAGGATTAAAACTGTTTGTTTATATATAAGACATTCACAAAAGATTTTTTTTTTTTTTTTCAGATGAGTTCAAAGGTCACTCATTACTGGAAGGTTGTCGCCAAGCAGACCTGACAAGAGTTAAGAAATACATGGAAGTTGTCAATATTAAACACCCTTACTCAGGAGACACAGCATTGGTGAGACATTTTCCAAAGTGTTGTAATTGTATATAACTTTTGATCTAAAGCATGTCATTAAATTACAGTACTTTATCTGTCCTGAACAGAAATAAGTACAAAGAAATATCATCAGTCAAAAAGCATTGACTGAGAGAAAACTATCGTTTCATTATGATCTAAAATTCATCGTGTGATTTCGTTATTTGTAGCACTGTGCTGCCTCCTCCCCCTTCCCTAAGAGAAAACAGGTAGTGGAGCTCCTAATCCGTAAGGGAGCTAACCTCAACGATAAAAACAAGGAGTGAGTATACCATGGTCATCTAAATACATATAAATAGTGGTTTGTGGTAGGTTAGTCACATTTTCCAATATTGAGTGTCAACAGCCCTGTCTTTGTTACTGTCTGCTCTTGACAAATGTTGAGTGATACAGATATTTTTGTCTTAGCCTTGTCTATTCATAAAGTTTGAAAATAAAAGGCAAAACTGTAATCCAGAAACTTTCCCACTCTGCTAAGTACATTAGTGTATGATTTGTCTTTTGATCTTTGTTTCGGAGGACATTCTGCTCCACCACACATCTTCATATTTACAGGGTTTTGGTTTTGTCTAACACTTTCCCTCCTCTTTCAGTTATGTCACCCCACTACACATAGCTGCTGACAAGGCCCATTATGATGTTATGGATGTCCTACTGAAACATGGGGCCAAGGTAATGCTTTTTACACTCACAAATTATTGTACCATAAAAAGAAAAATATATGAATTCAAAAAAACCTTTAAGATTTTAATTTGATATACAAAGATTTGTTTCCTATCTGTGTCACTGTTACCAGTGTCTGTGTTCTTATTGGCTAGTCCAGATAAAGCTAGAGTGGGTCAGATACTTGAATTTGATGATATATGGGTGACAAGGTTTTAACCCACAATTATATAGTGGTCCTCATAAAGGAAATTTTTGTAATACAATGGAACTTCTTCAAACCATGGATGGGACATGAATATTTGGCAGGATTAGGGAGGGTTCGGTTTGTTGAAGTGAAAAAGTTGACCAGCACACACTCTGATATGATTTAACCGATTCCCCTCAGTACATTACATTAACCATTCAACATTTACACTCCATATGTCCAGCTGAATATAGAGAAAAAAAGTTTTGATAAATATTTTGTGAAAAAAGAAAGAATATGTTTTTATTGATCAGTACAAAAAACTTCTTTTCTAAAACAACACTTGATTAATACATCAGTTCTGTATGTGTTCAGATATTGTGTTTTATGTTTTTTTTTTTACGAACTGAAATTTTTTTTGTAGTATCAGATGATTCTTTCATTTGCATATTAATACAATTTTTGTATTTTGTATTGTTTTACTGTATATTGAGAGGGTTTAGAACATGTAAGAATAGAAACTGAAACAGATTATTCTGACTTAAGTGCATTAGATGTGTGGACAATGGAGAGAATAAATCTGTATTAACTGTACACAAAGTCTGTTGATAGATGATATGTACTTACCAGTCTAATAATGTTTTAATGTACAGGTGAATGCCCTGGACAGTCTTGGACAGACAGCTTTACATCGAGTGGCTCAGCAGGGCAACATGCAGGCATGTCGCCTACTTATGTCCTATGGAGTAGATCCTGCCATCGTCTCTCTCCAGGGCTACATGGCTGCCCAGCTGGCTACAGAGAACATTCAGAAGATGCTCAAAGGTAATATTAGACATAGCATCTATGGTCTCCAGTAATATTGCAGAAAAAGTGCTGTGACTAAAGTATATATAAGGCTAACTACTTGTGTCGTTCATAACTCCTGTTTGATTGTTCAGAATTAGACAAATATCTTAATACATGTACAATGAGATTGTACCAATACATAGAAAGCTATGAAATTACCTTGATCTTGAAAGTAATTTGTTTGGTAAGTCCTAATGATAAATTGAAAGGAAATTAGATCATTTTTGTTGGTCAGTAATGTTATAGATCCTACCCTGCTGTTTAAGATAACTCCACTTCTTGACTTGATATGATGCAATTGCAAACCAAAGTAGCATCATTAACTGTTATCGATAAGGAATTTTTCTATGCCATTATTACCAATGGGTCTGGTAACATCACAGAGGATGTAATGCCAAATGTTTTCTGTCAGAAAGATTTTTTAAGATTTCAGACTTTGATTTTCATCTCTTTCTTTAATATCACTCCTAAGAAATGAAGAAACATTTAATAATAGGTATCGAAATGCAAAATCTATTTCTTGATTTAGTACATGGTTAAGAGTCATGTTAATTGTACAGCGTTGAAGATATTATAATCGAGATACCATGATATGATTACAGAAGACCCCCCAGTGGGAGGAACAGATGTGGACATACAACTGCTGGAGGCTGCCAAAGCTGGGGATATCGAGGTCATCAAGGTCAGTTACAAACTTACAGGGTAGTCATACTAACCAAACTCTAAGGTCACAGGGTAGTCGGGTAGTCATACTAACCACACTCCAAGGTCACAGGGTAGTCATACTAACCACACTCCAAGGTCACAGGGTAGTCATACTAAACACACTCCAAGGTCACAAGGTAGTCATACTAACCACACTCCAAGGTCACAGGGTAGTCATATAAACCACACTCCAAGGTCACAGGGTAGTCATACTAAACACACTCCAAGGTCACAGGGTAGTCATACTAACCACACTCCAAGGTCACAGGGTAGTCATACTAAACACACTCCAAGGTCACAAGGTAGTCATACTAACCACACTCCAAGGTCACAGGGTAGTCATACTAACCACATTCCAAGGTCACAGGGTAGTCATACTAACCACACTCCAAGGTCACAGGGTAGTCATACTAACCACACTCCAAGGTCACAGGGTAGTCATACTAACCACACTCCAAGGTCACAGGGTAGTCATACTAACCACACTCCAAGGTCACAGGGTAGTCATACTAAACACACTCCAAGGTCACAGGGTAGTCATATAAACCACACTCCAAGGTCACAGGGTAGTCATACTAACCACACTCCAAGGTCACAGGGTAGTCATACTAACCACACACCAAGGTCACAGGGTAGTCATACTAACCACACTCCAAGGTCACAGGGTAGTCATACTAACCACACTCCAAGGTAGTCATACTAACCACACTCCAAGGTCACAGGGTAGTCATACTAACCACACTCCAAGGTCACAACCACACTCCAAGGTCACAGGGTAGTCATACTAACCACACTCCAAGGTCACAGGGTAGTCATACTAACCACACTCCAAGGTCACAGGGTAGTCATACTAACCACACTCCAAGGTCACAGGGTAGTCATACTAAACACATTCCAAGGTCACAGAGTAGTCATACTAAACACACTCCAAGGTCACAAGGTAGTCATACTTACCACATTCCAAGGTCACAGGGTAGTCATATAAACCACACTCCAAGGTCACAGGGTAGTCATACTAACCACACTCCAAGGTCACAGGGTAGTCATACTAACCACACTCCAAGGTCACAGGGTAGTCATACTAACCACACTCCAAGGTCACAGGGTAGTCATACTAACCACACTCCAAGGTCACAGGGTAGTCATACTAACCACACTCCAAGGTCACAGGGTAGTCATCACTAACACACTCCAAGGTCACAGGGTAGTCATACTAACCACACTCCAAGGTCACAGGGTAGTCATACTAACCACACTCCAAGGTCACAGGGTAGTCATACTAACCACACTCCAAGGTCACAGGGTAGTCATACTAACCACACTCCAAGGTCACAGGGTAGTCATACTAACCACACTCCAAGGTCACAGGGTAGTCATACTAACCACACTCCAAGGTCACAGGGTAGTCATACTAACCACACTCCAAGGTCACAGGGTAGTCATACTAACCACACTCCAAGGTCACAGGGTAGTCATACTAAACACACTCCAAGGTCACAGGGTAGTCATACTAACCACACTCCAAGGTCACAGGGTAGTCATACTAACCACACTCCAAGGTCACAGGGTAGTCATACTAACCACACTCCAAGGTCACAGGGTAGTCATACTAACCACACTCCAAGGTCACAGGGTAGTCATACTAACCACACTCCAAGGTCACAGGGTAGTCATACTAACCACACTCCAAGGTCACAGGGTAGTCATACTAACCACACTCCAAGGTCACAGGGTAGTCATACTAACCACACTCCAAGGTCACAGGGTAGTCATACTAACCACACACCAAGGTCACAGGGTAGTCCTTTTTGATAGATTTGTACATGGAAGCTTAATTATGGATTCTTTTTATTAGTTTTTATTCACTTTGTTTATTTATAGCAACTGTACTGAAGAATTTGCTGTGATGTTTAAATTTTGAAACATCTCTTTAACTATCCTTTTGGTCTTTTATTAGAAGCTTGTTTCGGCCAATCCCCAGTCAGTAAACTGCCGAGACCTTGATGGTCGACACTCTACACCACTTCACTTTGCTGCTGGATACAACAGGGTTGGAGTAGTGGAGTTCTTTCTACAGCATGGTGCTGATGTACATGCCAAGGACAAAGGGTCAGTCTTTATTTGGTTCCATAGTGAAGAAGTAATTTGATCAATGTGTGATTTTGCTTGATGTGGTGTTGAAGCTAAGTTTAAATCTGAGAACTTTCTAATGGAAGGATAGAATTCAAGATACCAGCAAAAGAGGATTATGTTTTTGCCACAGCAGTTTCTGTTTATGATCAAGAAATTACATGAAAACATTACATGAAAATGCCCTAACAATTTCAGTCTTTATATTTCTGGCAAAGAAGATGTTGCTTATGAGATAAATATTATCAATATTTAAAATGTTGTATCTTGTTTGTTAGTCCTTAATTAGTATGAACAGTAATTAATTACAATTTTGTTAATTTTCCTTTTCAGTGGTCTGGTACCATTACACAATGCCTGTAGTTATGGACATTTTGAGGTCACAGAACTTCTTATCAATGTAAGTCTTTAAGAGATCTAACAATTTTTTTTTTTATATTTAAAGTTTTTAAAAGGAACTGGTACAGACTGTCACCCAGTTTTATTTATGGGAGGTTTTCTTTAGGAAAGCATTGCTATAAGGAAATATCTTTCCCTTCAGATTGTCTGTTATTCCATTTAAGATTTCTTTGGAACAAATTTAAGTTCAATGGTTCCCTTCAGGAAATTTGTACACCTGGGAATTGAGTTCAAACAAAATTTTATCCTGAGTGTTGAAAGGTATCTAGAATACAGCCCAGCAGTATCATTCATCTATCAACCTATAATAGAAAATTGCTTAGTTCAAAACAAATTTGAGTAGATTTTGTCATTTGGTGTAGAAAATTCTGAAGCCTGTTGTGATTTATAGACTAAAGAAGTAAGTTATCCTTTATCTTGAAGCAGAGGGTTGGACTGTAAGATGGAAATATGTATAAATATCAATTTACATATAAAGTTAAAATCATCTCGAGAAAATAATTGATGTAACGGAGCAACGAAAGCATTGCTTGTTATCTCATTCAGTATTATTATTCTAGACAGGTACCTTATAATATAACAACCCCTCAAGTTTGATGATATTGTGTCACATATTATTCACGTTTGGATATTATGCACATGTTGTTGACTCTCTTACAGCATGGTGCTTGTGTCAATGTTGCTGATCTGTGGAAATTCACACCTCTTCATGAAGCAGCTGCCAAGGGCAAATTTGAGATCTGCAAACTTCTTCTCAAGGTGAGATATTGCTCATTTTAACGTATAAATTTTTGAACTCATTCAATGGAATTGTTAATCAAACTTATAGATGTACTTTTTATGTGGTTCCGTTTTCTTAGTGTCTAATTAATTTTTTCATTGGTTTTTTTTTTTGGTAGGTGAAAGTATTATTTTAAAGTGTGTCTGATGTAATCAATAAACAGTAGACTAGCTGTTGTATCATTAAAGAAAAGTCATGTGACTAACTGTTGTATCATTAAAGAAAAGTCATGTGACTAACTGTTGTATCAATGAAGAAAAGTCATGTGACTAACTGTTGTATCATTGAAGAAAAGTCATGTGACTAACTGTTGTATCATTGAAGAAAAGTCATGTGACTAACTGTTGTATTAATGAAGAAAAGTCATGTGACTAACTTTTGTATCATTGAAGTCATTTACTTTACTGTTATACATAACAGCATGGTGCTGATGCTAATAAGAAGAATCGAGATGGCAACACACCACTTGATCTAGTCAAAGATGGTGATCAGGACGTGGCTGATCTGCTCCGGGGTGATGCAGCCTTACTGGAGGCAGCAAAGAAGGGGAATTTAGCTCGTGTGCAAAAGCTAGCTTCCCAGGAAAACATAAACTGTCGTGATACACAAGGACGCAATTCAACTCCTCTACATCTTGCAGGTAAGATCTCGCACTTCAGTTCAAACCTTCCTTTTGTCCTTCACAGAGTGTTAATATTCCTTTCACGTGTATATACTGAGAAAAGATGACTAAAGGTTGAAAAGTGACCCTAGTGACAGTGAATAGAAGGGAATTTGTCTATCACTGAATTGAGCCATTATCTTGTTCTGATACTTCCTCATCAGAGTAGATATAATGGACTTAAAACCAGGCAGTATTTTCAGGAATTCAACTTAAACATCTGGAATTTGTTATATATGTAACATGGGTAAAGAGATATTACTAGCTTCTCTAGTGAATGTCTGTGTAGTTGATGGATTCTAAAGATTGTCTGCATTATTTTGTGGTAGTAATACCTTGTGATACAGCTTTTACTAGACTAAATAACATTTTTATGTCTGCATTGTTTCTTGCTAGACTAAATAACTTCTGTAGGTAGTGCCAGTTTTAACAGACATGTGTCTCTCTTTTCTCCCTAGCCATTCTGTTTACATAGGTGTTGAGGTACATTTCAGGAAGATTACTCATTCTATGTTATGCAAATTGCATTATTGATTTGTTTTCAGCTGGCTACAATAATGTTGAGGTTGCTGAGTTTTTACTGGAGAATGGTGCTGATGTCAACGCACAGGACAAAGGTGGTCTCATACCCCTCCATAATGCTTCTTCTTACGGCGTAAGTACCTAAGTCATGTACCTCTTGATAAAATGCTGGTACCTCATACCCCTCCATAATGCTTCCTCTTATGGAATGCCTAAGTCATGTACTACTTTATAAAACTGTGGTACCTCTACCCTCTGCTTCAATCTTCTGAAATATGCATAATTACATTGTTTTTAGTTCAGACAAATAATTGATCTTTACACAATACTTCAACTTTTTCAAGAATGATTTCTCAGGACTTAGAAATATATTAATCTTGTTTCAGTACTAGTATGAAGAAAGTGATCGTATGTATGACAGTTTGTTGTCCTCATTTTTCAGCATGTTGATATAGCAGCCCTGCTGATTAAGTTTAACACCTGTGTAAATGCTGTAGACCGATGGGGATTTACCCCTTTACATGAAGCAGCACAGAAAGGTCGAACTCAACTCTGTGCCTTGTTGGTGAGTCAACAGTTTCAACAGAGTGTAAAATTAATTTTAATAGAATCAAAAATATTCCATTTGTTTACAACTTTTTACCTCTGACAATGATCCCCAGTATGGGAATCAATGAAAGAATCATTGGTTTGTTTCTGTACGATTTTACCAGTGTACCCACTCAGACATGTTGGCATTTGTATTCCCTAGAAAGGAAGGGAATCGCGCACCCAAGACAAACTGGGATTTGTACATTCAAATATATGCACACAAGACAAATGTTTCACAAAAGACACCAGTTTATTTGTATTTTCAAAATCATACCTTAACCTGATGTCTTTTTGTTACACTAGCTTGCACACGGAGCAGACCCAACAATGAAGAACCAGGAAGGACAAACACCATTAGACCTTGCAACAGTAAGTGTTTTATTTTCTAAATCTTGCCATGCTGAAATACTGGATGTCATAGAAACAAGTTTGTGTTATCGCTGCAGTATGTGATTTTTTGTTCACATTAAAATTTGAAATTGACAATTGCAGGACTCTATGAATTAACCTATCAGAGGATTTTTGTGATTGGCAGTGCAAGTGTATGTTGGTCTATTGCTTTAATTGTTAAATAATTATTGTTGTTGATGTTACAGGCAGATGATGTTAATGCGCTGATACAGGATGCCATGCCCCCCACCACACAACCCCCAACCCTCCCTAAATCACAGGTTACCAGTGTTAATACCACCAACACCAGTAGTGCTAGTAGTTCGTCAAATAACAGGTAAACAATTATAGATAAAGGAGGGCGGGATGTTCTTTTTAATTAATAAATAATGATAAAATAAAGCAATATGTTTGGTATGAATAGAAGTCTTTTTTTAGGTCATCTGACCCAAAGGGTCAAGATGACCTATAGCCATCATGCTTCGTCCGTCGTCGTCCGCCGTGCATAAACTTTTCATTCAAACAACTTCTTCTCAAATACTAGAAGGTCTAGGGGGCTAATACTTGGCACAGAGCATACTGGCATGGAGCTCTACCAAGTTTGTTCAAATGAATGACCTTGACCCACTTTAAAGGTCACAGGGGTCAAATATCTTGTATCTAATGTCAGATGACCGTTAAGGCCCATGGGCCTCTTGTTTTTCACTCTTTTTTTTTCTCATTTTATATACATTCTTGTACCGTTCTCACTAAAATTATCAAATTTCTGTAGGAGCTGCTTATAATACCAAATAAGTCAGCAAGATCATTAGTTGTCAAGTTATGATTAGTATTTACTTAAGATTGTCTCTTGCTTTGCAGTTCAATGTTCAACAGTACTAATGACAATGGGACGGGTATGTCCTCACTGGGAGCTACAGGAGGAATTTCACTGCCAGTGTCACCACAGGTGGGAGATGGGGCCATGGAACGTACAATGGCTGAAGGAGAACGTAGTATAGAGGGTGTTAGTGTGTCCTCGTTCTTAACCTCAGTGGGACTCGATCAGTTACGAGATATTTTTGAGAAAGAACAAATAACAATGGACATTCTTGTGGAAATGGGCCATGATGAACTTAAAGACATTGGTATCAATGCTTATGGCCATCGCCACAAGATTCTCAAAGGTGTGGAGAAACTCATCTCCGGAAATAAAGGTAAGTTGTATGGCTCAACTAAATCTGAATGCATTTGTTTGTATAGTGAATAATGTGACCATTATATGATATATTGAATGATTTTAAAGATTTGTTATAGTCTAAATGGTCATGTTCTCCTGTCATTATTATATTAATTACAAGTTAGTCATGCTAATTATTACCAAGTTACTACAAGTGAAACAGACATATTCAGGCTGTATTCTATACACTTACCATCAGAAAAGTGTTAAAGAGTATGTAATAAATCAGACTATCATCCTGGAATTGGGAGTGTGTAGTGAAGAAATGTGATTATTTATCGTTGTTGAATAAAACACATTAGAGTCATATTGATTCTTCTGGTTAAATTATCTTTGAGTTACATCTTGTTAGAACTAGCGACTGATGTGTAGTACCTCATAAAGAACCTTGAAATGTATTCACTGCTTCAGGTAGGAGAGTACATAAGAATAAGGTCACCTATAGGTCAAAACTTTTATAAAGATTTTACTTTTAAAAAACCCAGATATCCAGTTAAAACATTTGTATCTCACCATAGGTCAGTCCTCCATATTGGCAGCAGTTCCACACCAAGGTACTGTCCTTGTTGACCTACAGCCAGATGACCCAGAATATATATCTGTGGAGGAACAGGTAAGCATACTGTAAAGGTAGACTTTATTACAAATTTTCACCAGATTTTTCTTGTAAATATGTAATTTATAATCCTATGAAGTGATTTAAGTGTTGTTTTACAAACACATGTTTAAGTCAGTGAATCTGAACCCTGGTCAGATAATACTCACCTGAGTGATATTTATTTGCAGATGCAAAGTACAATACGAGAACATAAAGAAAATGTAGGAGGAATTTTCAACCGTTATAATATTAATAAGGTAAGTTGCAAGAAGAATCGATTCTTAAATTATTTTCTCAAACAGAAATCATGGAAAGTAAAAGTTCTCATCCTGAGTAATTATTCTGAGATTTCTCCATTAGGTCATAGTTATAGTGCCTTGCAGCAGAAGACTGTTATTCTAACCATAGGTATATTCTAATACAGCTGGGATCCAAAAACTCTTCAAAGAGGGTGGGTTTAATTGACAGCAGAATTTTCAGACTGTTGGTCTAAATATATGTTAATAGTATAAGAAACTTTAGGGACAGCATGGGTATATGAGTACCATCAGTATATGAAACATTGTAAGACAATTTTTACAAACATTTTGCCACTTGTGTATAAAAAGGAATTGAATTTTTAATTATAACGTAACTATCATTTGTACTTACACACTTAGAGGTCCAGGTGCTTTCCATGGTTTATTGAACAATTAAATACAATTAAAATTTATTCAAATATTTTGCTCTTTCAATTAATTACAAAGAGGGACTTACCACATGGTAAATTATAAAAGGAAAATATTCTACAAAGATGTGAGAATGGTGTGTTAATAAGAATAATATGGTACACAGGATGTGAAACATAAATTACCAATGATGCAGATATAAGAAAAATTAATGTATTGTTCATATGATGTAATCACAGATCCAGAAGATCAGTAATAAGCGCCTTTGGGGTAGATATTGTCATCGACGGAAAGAAGTCTCAGAAGAAAACCACGGCCATGAGAATGAACGCTTACTGTTCCATGGCTCACCTTTCATCAACGCCATTGTACACAAAGGCTTTGACGAGCGACATGCTTATATTGGGGGCATGTTTGGAGCAGGTCAGTAGTTATATCCTAAAAAGCCATTTTGGGAGAAAGGCTATGTTGGTATACTGCAATTGGCTACTTTAATGTAATGCTAACATTCATATCAATCTATCAGTTGAATGCACAGACCAGTGTTTTCCACACAAAAAAATAATTCTAGGAATGTTTAAGCATATCTTAGGAATGGTTTTTACATGGTAAATATTTTGATATCTGAAATGAAGTGAAATGTGATAGCTGCTAAATCATGTGAAAGCATACATAGATAGCTATCAGAGCATATGAAATCATACTTAGCTGCAAAAGCATATGATTGATGGCGATATTATATAATTTTAAAAGTAGTCTCCAGGTTTTGGCCTGTCATTAGAACTTGTTATCAAACTAAAGCTATAGATTTCAATGTACATTACAGGTATCTACTTTGCTGAGAACTCGTCCAAAAGTAACCAGTATGTGTACGGTATAGGCGGCGGTACTGGTTGTCCTCTTCACAAGGACCGGTCTTGTTACATCTGTCACAGGTATATCACAACTTCTTTTGCATCAAAACATATGGAATGCATTTGTAAATTTATGAAAATGAAATGTTTCCATTGTTAGCAAATGGGAATGTCAATATTGAGTCTTGAAATGAAAATTTTGTATTTTCTTACTAATTAAAAGTTTAAAACAGTTTTCAACAGATTGATTTATATTTACCAGCTTATATCAACCCAAACAATTTGATTGGAAGTTACAACAATGTTTCCATGTGTATCTGTTATGTTGTAGACAACTGCTGCTGTGTCGAGTGACACTTGGAAAGTCTTTCCTTCAGTTTAGTGCAATAAAGATGGCACACTCACCGCCTGGCCATCACTCTATTATTGGGCGGCCAAGCAGTGGAGGCCTTATGTATCCCGAGTACGTGGTGTACAGGGGAGAACAGGTAAGATAGAATCTGTATCATAGACTATATATTATTAGTGATTCCTTCAGATGGAAACATTGATTTGAACATATTATCATATTTATTTCAAATATAATGGGAAGGAATCATGCTTGTGTTGTTAATAACTTTTCCATGCTGAATGTGAAGGAAGATAACTTTATACCAGTGCAAGGCAAGAGATATAACTAAATTATATTACATTTTTAGCATTAGTTACAATAGTGTTATGGATGTTGAGTGCTGTATAACATATCAATAAATTTAAAACCGCATGTATTTTATTTTTGCAGGCTTATCCTGAATATCTCATCAGCTTCCAGATTCTTAAACCAGACAGTCCAGAATCATCAACCACAGCAACGCCAAAGAAACCCTAGGTATTCTAGGACTCATTCATAACAATCAACTGTAGGCAATGTGTGATAGTCATATGGCATCTCCTCAGTAGAAATGGATCTGCAAGGACACATAAAACCTGGACCTATTAGGACACCTCAACAAAGTCAACTATGGACTTGTAAGGACACATCTAGACCACAGATCTGTCAGGATACCTAACAAGGCCTACCATTGACCTGTTAGGACACTTGTAGCAAAGCTGATCACAGATCTGTCAGGACACCTAACAAGGCCTACCATTGACCTGTAAGGACACTTGTAGCAAACCTAATCACAGATCTGTCAGGACACCTAACAAAGCTGACCATTGACCTGTTAGGACACTTGTAGCAAAGCTGATCACAGATCTGTCAGGACGCCTAACAAGGCCTACCATTGACCTGTAAGGACACTTGTAGCAAAGCTGATCACAGATCTGTCAGGACACCTATCAAAGCTGACCACTGTAGGACACCTGTAGCAAAGCTGATCACAGATCTGTCAGGACACCTAAAAAAGCCAACCACAAACCTGTTAGGACACCTCTAACAAAGCCTACCGTTAACCTGCAGGGACACAAATTTCACCAATTACTTATTATGACTCATAGATCTAACAAAGTCGATCATTAATCTGCTAAGACACATAAATCTAACAAAATCGATAATGGAACAGCCAGTGCACACAACTCTAAAAAAGGCGATCAGGACCTGCTATGACAAAGATCCAACAAAATCTACTGTGGACCAGCTAGGACACATAGATCCAACAAAGTCAACTGTGGACCTACTAGGACACATAGATCCAACAAAGTCAACCGTGGACCTTCTAGGACACATAGATCCAACAAAGTCAACTGTGGACCTACTAGGACACATAGATCCAACAAAGTCAACTGTGGACCTTCTAGGACGCATAGATCCAACAAAGTCAACTGTGGACCTTCTAGTACACATAGATCCAACAAAGTCAACAGTGGACCTACTAGGACAGATAGATCCAACAAAGTCAACTGTGGACCTTCTAGGACACATAGATCCAACAAAGTCAACAGTGGACCTGCTAGGACACATAAATCCAACAAAGTCAACAGTGGACCTGCTAGGATACATAGATCCAACAAAGTCTACTGTGGACAGGCTAGGACACATAAATCCAACAAAGTCTGCTGTGGACCTACTAGGACACATAGATCCAACAAAGTCTACTGTGGACAGGCTCGGACACATAAATCCAACAAAGTCTGCTGTGGACCTACTAGGACACATAGATCCAACAAAGTCTACTGTGGACAGGCTCGGACACATAAATCCAACAATGTCTACTGTGGACCTACTAGGACACATAGATCCAACAAAGTCAACAGTGGACCTGCTAGGATACATAGATCCAACAAAGTCTACTGTGGACAGGCTAGGACACATAAATCCAACAAAGTCTGCTGTGGACCTACTAGGACACATAGATCCAACAAAGTCAACTGTGGACCTACTAGGACACATAGATCCAACAAAGTCAACTGTGGACTGGCTAGGACACACAGTTCCAACGCAGTTGATCATGGACTTTCTTGGACACATAAGACAAAGTCAACTATTGACCTGCTACAGGATTAATTTTACACAGACCGACTGTGGACCTAACAAAGCCAAACTGAGTCATGGAAATTTTGCAAGAGTGAGGAATTCCAACATAAGAAAATTTTTATAGGAAATGATAAAGTTTTACCTTATTCATACAGAGTAACAAAATGATTGAAAGCAGCTTCTGTTTTCACATCACTAAAAGTGATTTAAAAGGCAGAAATTCCACTCCAAGATAAGTTGTCCTAGTTCTGTTAATGCTTTGCATATCAGTCTGATCATCATCTCATGTTACACTGATCTGCAAGGTTTACAAAAACCTCATATTTTTTAAGCCAAGTTGATTTTTTAAATGCAGGTAAGCCGCCATAATGATTTTTTGAAATTCAGTACAAGGTAAGTTTGAATTTTCTTAGGATACAAAAACTCTATTGAGAATTTATCCATGTTCTCAGTAGTTTCACCCATATAATGGAAAGTACAATACATATGCATCACTGAAGATGGAATGCCTATCTGTAAATTGTCCCATCTATGTTTTGGTTCAAATTATTATCATTAACTTTATTCATGACATTGAATTTTTATGAATCGCTTATCGCCTGATAGCATACTACTTGGTTTTAGTAGTGTTTTTTAAGTTAAGATTAACAAGAGGCTCAAAACTTACAAGGATACTATTTGTTTTTAGAATCTTATGTGGTGGGACTACACTGTTGAAATTACACTGTGTTTGTGCGTGTGTGAAGTATTGTTTTTCGATAGTGTTACTATGTATCTCTCACAGAGAGTAACTGTGCCATGTTTTCACCAATGCAATGTTCAGTATGTACAAGTGTTCTATTTTTGAATCTACTGTATATGAAATATGTTATAGGGCATAAATGAGAAAATGTTAGCCTCCTCACACAATGGAATGAATTTCCTACCCTGTACATACCACTCTTCTCTGTATATATTGTAAATATGTAAATTGTGTCAAATGATCATATTTTTCTCACTAGAAATGCATAATTTTCTGTCATCTTGCCAAATTCTCCTGTATGGTTTATTTATACTCTTGAGAAATAAGTGTCAGTTTTATTTTCATTGACAAAAAGATCCATACAGAGCTTAGTGTGAATCTCCTGATATTGATTAGAATATACATAAAGGCTGTCTTTTAATCATTGACTTATTGTTTTTTATAGAAAACAAGTTGATTTTAAGTTGTGTGTACTGGTAATTGATGCTTGTAGCCTCGTGTTTCAGACAGATGAAATAGTCCATTACTTTAAGGCTGATGTTAAACATGTGAACTTGATACAATTGGATCTTTCATCATGCAGTTGACAAGGGTTGAAAAAAAAATGTTTGCACACTATACAAAAAAATGAAAAAACATTTGTATGAGACTCTTAGTCCTAACCATTTAGGATATGATCTTATTGAAGTCCTGTAATTAATGGGATAACTGTTTCAGATAACAGAAATATGCTACTTAGTTGGGAAAACATGACAACTCTTTGGAGTTTTGACACTTTTGAAACTCCAAAAATTCTGCATGAGGACAGATTATCAACAAGTTTGCAGAGATTATGTTAAAAGAAATATCATTTACAACTCATGCATTGCTTATTAAAAAGTTGTAGAGCTGTTGTTATTAAGAGAAAGTAAATCATTCAGTTATCACTATATTGTTAGGCTTTTGTTTTCACCAGAAACTCTCACTGTTACAGCTACACAACAGTATCGTACTAGGTTCTTAACAAGTTTCACAAAGAGGTACAACACTACCTATACTACTAAGTAGTATATGTCTTACTGCCTTGTTAGCCATATTTATCAACCTTGTAACAAATTGCTTGCAATTAAATTGACAAATTATAGCTTGGAGTATTTCCATCATAGGTGTGTATAAATGTATATTGTAAATTGTGTCACTGTTCGTAGGTGAGAGAGAGCAATGCAATGTAATAGTTTAAGAAAAGGGGATATGATTTTTTTTCTGCCCTCTTTAGTGCATTTATAGTATGTAAAATGTATATTGGAATGTCAAGCGAGAGGAGATGTTGCCAGACATGTGTGGAGTGTGACAGATGGTGCGATTGAGTGTGTACAGTAATTTAACTCTGTGTTGTATATAGTCCTGCCCACTGTGTGTATCTAGCTGCCGTTTTAAATCTCTTGACTTCTAAAGGCTTCCTATACATCATTTTGTCACATGTTTTAATGTAACTACTCAATAATAAACCAACTCTGTTGAAGTCCAATATTACTACTGCCTTTTGTATGTGATCATGACCAGTGTTATCAATCTTTCTTGGTGTCATCAAATTGCCCTACATCCCTGGTCTGTGGTCCATCTATAAACAATCCTTGTTATCACAAAGTTTCATGGTGACCTATCATGATCCTCTTTTGTTTGGTGTCATGTGTCAAAATAATGAATTTAAGTCTCCACTCCATAGTGCCATGACGGGCAGGGCCAAAAGTGGTCCAATTGACTCAAATTTTAAAAATCTGTTTCTTAACAGATGCTTTTCATAGATGGAAGGATCTTAAGGGACTTCAACAACACTGTAAATTTCATGGCTCCCTTCATTATGTTATTGTGAGTGTAAGGATTGACAGCTTGAGTAAAGTTTGCCTCAGACAATGATCAGACAGGGCAGAGCTATAATACATATTAAAACTTCATTCAAGTAGATGCTATCAGCAAGTTGAAATGTCAAAATCCAAAATCCTTATGTGTTTATTTTGAATATTGATACATACTTTAAATGTATGCACTTCAGGCACCTCTATTA